AAAACCCCAAAACAAACAGAAACCCCAAAAACAACCAGGGACGGGCACAAAAACCCCACAAACAACCAAAGATCACAAATTTTAAAGGATTTTGGGGGATTTTGGTGGATTTTGGTGGGATTTTTTTGGATTTTGGTGGATTTTTGGTGGATTTTTTAGGGATTTTGGTGGATTTTTTTGGGATTTTTTTTTTTTTTTTTTGGATTTTGGAGGAATTTTGCGGGGAATTTTTGGGGATTTTAGGGCATTTTGGGGATTTTTTAAGGGATGGTTAGGGGAAATTTGAGGGAATTTGGGGGGGAATTTTGGGGGAATTTTTGGGGGGATTTTGGTGGATTTTTTTGGGATTTTTTTTTTTTTTATTTTTTGGATTTTGATGGATTTTTGGTGGATTTTGGGGGAATTTTGCGTTGATTTTTTTGGGGATTTTAGGGTTTTTGGGGGATTTTTAGGGTTAGGGCTAGGGTTAGGGTTAGGGTTGCATTAGGGTTAGGCTTAGGGTTAGGGTTAGGAATAGGGTTAGGATTAGGGTTAAGATTAGGATTAGGATTAGGGTTAGGGTTAGGCCTGGGTTAGGGTTAGGGTTAGGATTAGGATTAGGGTTAGGGTTAGGTTTAGGGTTAGGATTAGGGTTAGGGTTAGGATTAGGGTTAGGGTTAGGTTTAGGATTAGGGTTCGGGCTAGGGTTAGGATTAGGGTTAGGGTTAGGATTAGGGTTAGGGTTAGGGTTAGGATTAGGGTTAAGGTTGGGGTTAGGGTTAGGATTAGGGTTAGGGTTAGGGTTTCATTAGGGTTAGGGTTAGGTTTAGTGTTAGGATTAGGGTTAGGGTTACGCCTGGGTTAGGGTTAGGGTTTCATTTGGATTAGGGTTAGGGTTAGGGTTTGGGTTACGGTTAGGTTTAGGGGTATTTTTGTGTTTTTGGGACTGACCGGTGGAACTGTAGGGTGAAGTTGCCGTCGCTGCCGTTCAGCGCCGGCGGCCGCGGATCCCCAGGATGGACCAGGAGACACTCTGGGGGGTCGGGATCGGGGTCAGGGACAGCCGGGACCCCAAAACCACTGGGGATTCCCAAATTCTAAATCCCAGACCCCAAAATCCCAAAATCCCAGACCCCAAAACCACTGGGGATTGCCAAATCCCAAATCCCAATCCCCAAAATCCCCTTTTCCCAAACCCCAAAACCACCAGGGCTTCCCAAATCTCAGACCCCAAAATCCCGAAATCCCTATCCCCAAAATTACTGGGGCTTCCTAAATCCTAAATCCCAAACGCCCTGGGACCATCAAAAACCCCAATACCAAAATCCCAAACTACACCCCAAAATCCTGCACCCCACACCCCAAAACCCCAAACTCCCAAACCCCAAAATCCCCAAACCCCAAACTCCATAAACCCCAAACCCCACAAACCCCGCACCGGTGACGACGCGCGGGTCGATGTCGAAGGTGTCGTTGTCGGGGTCGATGTCCCCGCGGCGGAAATAGCGCTGACACAGCCGGAGCGCGGGGACATCATTGGGGACATCGTTGGGGACATC